ACATTCGTCAAGAATCATAAGGTACAACACTTAATGATAGTCATAGGGTGCAAATAAGCAATCAGGAAACAATCAAAATCAATCAAAATCGTAAGGATACAAGCAACAAAGTTACAGTCCTCCAGTCATAAGTGGGAGGAGATGGGTGATAGGAACGTTGCGAAGACTAATAGCAATAGTAATGCAGCCTTAGTGAATAGTTTGACAGTGTTGAGGGAATTATTTGTTTAGCAGAGTGATGGCGTTTGGGGGAGGGGAACTGTTCTTGTATTTAATTGTCTTGGTATGCAGTGCTCTATAGCGTTTTTTACGAAATATCTATATATATATTTGAAAAGTGCCCCAGCAGGAGAACTTGTCCCAGGCAACCTGGGAAGGGGTGAAAGCCATTTGAGTCTGCAAGTGCTGGCTTGAAATGCTGCCTTTACGATGGTGGTTTGTAACGGGGTCACGTAGGAAAAATGCCTGCAAAGAAGAAAGATCGATCCTTTCCTCGTCTATCCACATGCGTGATGTTTCCTGGGCAGCATTGAGCTATCCAGGCCCCTTGGCTTGCAGGTTTTTAAGCTTCGTGGCTTGGGATGTTGCTTGCCTGTAGGGACTGAGTCCTCGTCTTCTTAGGGATGGGGTGGGGCTGAGGATTTTCTCTCTCTTTTTAACCCAATTATTCTTACTCAACGCTTTGGAGAAGACCAGATAGGTATCTTCACCTGGCTGGACCGGAGCTTCCTGTGTAGTAAGCGCTCCTTTAGGATGAGCAAGGTCAGGAGCTGCTTGCTCTGGATTAACCCTCCCGTCCTTGGGACTGGTGTCATTATGAATCTTTTGTGGGTGTGGCATTCTCCCCCCAAAAGGAATCATCTAATAGTGGAGGGTAGAGATTCCCAGGATGGAGGACACAAAAAGGCGTTTGGCTTTATGGCTCTCTGCCTTGCTTTGGGATTTGCCTGCCCTGTCCTTCTTTTGAAGAAATGGGACACAAGGTTTAGACTTAATGCAAGATCACTTATATGTGTAGAGATTGGCCTTGTTATGTAGGACAATATTGTGGGGTGAATCGGAGAACTCAGGATTGTCCTGGAACTCCTTGTATGTCGGAGATTTTCCAGAAAACATATAGATGGCTCATTCATATACCAAAAGTTGGTTATAAACATTCAAAATTTATTGTACCCTTTAACCACTGCCTGTAGTCTTGCTTTCCTAAGCGAGAATTGAGGCTACCTCCTGTGGAACTAGCAATTTTCTTGCACCTCACAGGCAAGGTATTCTGTAGTATAACAGATACTTTTCTTTGTCTTAGTCTTCATTTTACCTCGATGCTAATTTTCTTCTCAGACAGTATCAAAACAATTAGCTCTGTGAACTTAAGGATCTATATATTAA